AGGGTGGCCTACTGGCCAAGGATTTGTGCTCTAGCCTGAGACTGTCTGGGCTTGGAGCTCAATTCCTCTACTCACCAGGAGATACTGCTCATCCTCCTGGAAAGCGATCTATGCCTCTACAAACAGCAGATTGTCCTAGGCCTAGCGCACTGGAGAGGGACATCAAATTAAATGAGAATTTACACACAAGCTTATGCAAAATAGCGAAACCAGCAAGGATTTTCTCCATCTAGACCAACACTTGGCAATGGACTCATGTCCTCACACATGCGTCGTTCCCTCCCCTTCTGAACCTGCTACCCCCTCCTGCAAAGATTATAGGCAAGTCTGGAGAGGTTTAGAGGCTTGACCAATGTCACACACTACAAAGATGTAGCAGAGCAAGGAGTGGGCACCGAGACCCATCACCCTCTTCAGTAGATAAACAAAGAAGATGATGATGAAGGGTAGCCCCCAAGCAGCAACCATATGACAGCCTCTGTGCTAAGAGCTTCCAGGCCTGGTCTCAATGAATTCCCACACAAGTCTAGGACACAGGGAACATTATCTGGTTTACAAACAAGAACCTAGGACTCAGAGGGGTGAAGAAATTTTCCCAAGGTCACACAGATAAGTGGCCAAGCTGGAATTAAGTCTAGGCCACATGACTTGAGCCTGTTCAGACCAACCTGGCTATCTCTCTCGGGGCTACAGATAACACAACTGAGGGGTGGTGGATGGTGTGACCTGAGAGCCTCCTAGGGGGACAGTCACCAGTTACTGGGAACCAATATTTAGTTGCCTTATGAAAAATGCAAGTCCAGTGTTGTCAGATCCAGCAATTTCTTAAGAAAAACCAGAAATCTGGATTTCTGTGCAAAACCTTCCAGATTTCCAAAGTTTGGCAATTGGCTCTAAAGTTGGTTTTAAAACGCCACACATAATAGAGACTAAAGAGATTTCACAGCCAGATGCAATGAGCCTTGACCGGATACTGGTTCAAAAAGCCAGGCTCTAAAAGACATCTTTGCAGGACTGGGGCATTTTTAACATGATTGGATATTTGATAATAATACAGGCTTTTAATTCTTTTCCTTTGGTGTGGTAGTGGAATTGTAGCTTGTAGTTTGTGGGAGAATATTCTTGTTCTTAGGAGATCTATGCTGAAGTGTGTAGGGACAAAGTGTCATGTCTGTGACTTATTTGTAAATGCCTCAGCCAAAAAAAAAAAACAAAGAAAAAAATGGGGTGGAAGGAAGGAAGGGAGGGAGGGAGGAATTGAGAGAAATAGCAATAAATGAAATAAAACAAAAACTAATAATAGATCATTCTAGAACAGTACTTCTCAACTGGAAGATTCTGCTCCTTGATAACATCTGACAATGTCTGGGGACATATTTTACTGCTGCAACTGGGATGTGGGGTAGGTGCTACTGGCCTCTAGTATGAAGAGGCCAGGGAGGTGGCCACACACCATGTGGTGCACAGGTAGACCCCCAGAGAATGATCTGGCCCCCAACGTCAGCAGTGTCCAGGTGAGAAGCCCTGGTCTGGATGAAAGCTATGCTGGAGTTCATTTTATTTTTCTTTCAAGGTTGTTTTCTTTTTTGCATGTTAAAATGTTTCACAATTTTAAAAATCGAGAAAAAATTAAAAATAAAAATGAGACGACATAAACAGAAATACCTTGCAGGCCAAACAAAACCTGTCTGCATGGTTTGCCAACCACCATTTACAATCATTTCTTCCAATAAATACTGGTCCAATGTGACTGCTGTTTGCAGCTGCTGAACAACCTCTGGACAGTTCTCCCCACGTCACATGCAAGGCCCCCACCACCTCCGGGCATTGCGGTCTTTCTGCTCATTTCAGTCCTACATCAGCCCAGCAGGAAGCAGGGGCTGTGCCCATGACTCTGAGCCTGAGAATTGACATCACGGAAGCCTCTTCGGGGAGAACTCAAGGGCACTGGAGATGGAGCACTGTGATGAGCTGTCAGTCTCTGATGAGAAGGTGCTGATGAGATGAGAACGCCCATCTCAGTGGCCCCTGAAGCCCCAAACAAAACAAACGAAGAGGCTGCAGCCAGCAGGTTCATTTCACCTGCAAGCCACCTATAACCTCTCTGATGCCAAGTGAGGCATGCCAGCGCCTCCCAGGCAGCTCTTCACCCCACAGGCAAAATCGTATTATGGGCTCACTGACACACTGGAGTGCAGATGCCATGTGCATTTGGAAGGCTGGGGCAGCCCCAGCACCAGGGAAATACACACAGGGACAGAGGCACAGAGAACAGGCAACAGAATGTAAATAGAAGAGTCAGATTGGACTCATTCATCCCACACCCAACCCTGTAAAATGGTCCAAAACCCAAGTCCCCAGTGTCCCAAACTGTGGACCTCTTTATATGAGTCATTTGGGGAGGTTGTTAAATGCAGATTTCTGGGGCCCATCCCAGACCTATTGATTCAGGATCTCTGTGGGTAGAACTCAAGAATATGCATTTTAGGATCCTCACCCCAAATTTAGATGCTTGCTCAATCTGAACAGGTCTTCCAGGAACACCAGGAGGAGGGAAATTCCACAATTTTCTAATCAGTGACCTTGGGCAAGTCAACCAACCTGAGCCATGATTGTCTATTATGCAAGTGCCTGTCTTACAGGGTAGAGAATGTTTAAATGAGAGAATGTTTACACCCATGCGTACACACACACACACACCCCCCAGTGCAGATGAGCACCCAGACCTATGCTCAGCAAACATTAGCTCCTTTTCCTTCATGGTGATTGGCTGAGCATTGTAAAACCTGGAGAACCTGGTAAAAAGTACTGATGCTCAGACCCCACCCTAGAAATTCAGATTTAAAAAGTCTAAAGTGGGGCCTCTGGCACCAGTATTTTTTAAAAAGCATTCATGAGGATCCTAAAACAGAACCGGGTTGAAACCCACACCTTAGGATTTGTCTGTAACAATCAACTATTCTTCCTCTTTGGGAGTGTGCCTTCTGCTCCATTCTGGAATATCCCAAATTTGTAACAGGAGAGCCAGTTTAGATGCTCTGCTACCCCAGGACTGGGTACCCCTAGAGCCTGCCTGCAAAGTGCCTGCAGAACAAAGTGGCTGCAGCCTGCAGTGCTGAGTGATTCTTTTCCCCTAACAGGGCGGGGGGCCGGGGTCTGGTCCAGGGCCAGGAAGTTGAGCGCCAGAGGGGCCTGCAGGCTTCTAGTGGAGTGAGGTCTCCCCAAGAAAACACAGATCAGAGAGGCTGCAGCTTGCCCCAGGCTCTCCCCCAGGCCCAGAGGTTAGCTCTCAGCATCACCTTTCCACCGCCTGCCTCTCCCTCTCCCCCGCCCCACCCCAACACCAGGCGGGCTCCTTCAAGAGCTGCTTTGCAGGTTAGGGTTTGGTGGAGATCTCAGCAGAGGAATGAACCGGAATAGCAAGGCAAAGCAGCCTACCTATCCCGGGGTGACTCTCCCTACCAAGGCGACACCCGCCACCGCAATCCTGCGTGGGTATCTCACCCGCACCTTAACACAGACCCTGGGATGGACAGGGGCGGGCTGGGCCTAGGCAAGAGGAACTCCCCATACCTGGGGGAGCAGCGGATGGGCGGGGCCAGCGCTCTACTCAGGCGTGTGTCAGAGTTTCCCAGCCCTCATTTTTACTTCACTGCCTGGAGACCTCTCGGTCCATCCATCCACACCTCCCGCGCTGACCCCAACTGCAAGAACTTCTCCGCGCCTCCCCCCAAATCCCTCCCCTCTGGGAGAAAAAGTCATCATCGGATACTCTGCGTATAAATAGAAAATAATTACTAGTGAGGTGGTGATGTTCCTTCGCCTATTTTTGGTGGGTCTCTTTGTTCAGATTTTTTAGGCGAGGCGCACGGAGCGCGTGCATACACTGGCGCGCACGCAGGCCCGCGGCGGAGGTGGGGGGCCAGGCGAGGGGGGCCGCAGAGCGACTTGGTTGCCCCGACTCGGACAGATGGTAGAGCTCGCGCCACAGTCACCCAGCGGTTCCCGGGCTGCCTGTCACTCTCCAAGCCCGCGCGCCCCGACCTCAGGCCACCCCCTGGCCTCTGCCTGGGTGGGGGGCTGCAGGCTCTCGGCTGCGTCCTCCGCCTCCAAAGTTACTGGCTTGTGCGAATCAATTTAGACACTTTAAAAAAAGCAAAAGGCAAATAGCTCCATTAATCCCCAAATGCCTTCTCCCATCTGCTGCGGCTTGCTCGTGCTGGGACTTGCATAATGAATAAGACAAACGGGAAAGTTGACGAATCAGGGTGTCTCGGGGGTGCAGGCGCTCGGGGAGGGGGCTCCCGCCCTTGGCACGCGCGCGGACCCCGGCCCGAGGCTCGGGGCGCCGCGGAGGCCCCGGTCCCCTTGGCGGCGGGTGTGGGGAGGGGGGTGCAGCCCGGGTTCCAATTCCCGGGACCCGGCAGCTCAGGGAAAGCGAGGCGGCCGCTCCAAGCAAGGCTTTTGTTCTCGCCCCCCTCACTCCGCACCTCCCTCGCCTCATTTTCGCGAGTCGTACGAGTTGCAGGCGGCACACACTCCTTCCCGGCCTCCCGCACACACGCGCGCGCGGCTCACACACGCCCCCCGGCCCCTGCGGGCTCGCCTGCCCCTGTTTACCTAGAGGCTCGGGCTGGCATCCGGGAGGTGGACCCCTCCCCAATACCCAAGACTTCGGGGCACCGGGCCCCCCAGGAGTCTCTAGTCCTCTTCAATGCTTGGCGGGAGGGGGCGGCCAGAGATCTAGGGGGTCGGAGTCACTCCACACACGCGCGCGCGCGCGCACACACGCGCGCACACACACACCCGCTCACATCCACACCTGTGCTGCGCCCAGCGCCCCCTCGCCGCTCTCCCAGCCGAAGTTGGCTTCCCGGGTGCCATCCCCTGAAGGAGATGCTGGGGTGGGGGGGAGCGCCACGGCCTGGGGGAAGGTGGAGAGGGGAGAGAACGGGGGACAGCGGCGCCCGGAGGACAGGGCGAGGGGGGAGGCAGCCCACCTGGACATGTGCTCCCTCTGGGGCCGGTGCGCTTTCTCCAGCCCCAGCTTGGTGAAGATGCCCACGAGCACCATGACGGCCACCACCCCGCAGATGATGTAAACGATCAGGTTGGTCTTGTCCTTGGTGGGGTCATGCAGGGGGTCGTCCTTGCGCGCCGGGGGCTTGCCGGTGTTGAGCCAGAGCGGGGTGTCGTAGTTGGTGCAGGTGCTTTGGTTCAGGCGCCGCTTCTTGAAGGTGCAGCAGAACCGGAAGCCACAAGTCCCGCAGCAGAAGATGAAGTCGCCCGAGCTGCAGTTGAACGGCGGGTCCCACTGGCCCATGACATCGAAGTAGCCCCGGCAGAAGTCCGGCGTGGGAGCCCGGGTCGGGGGCGCGTCCGAGGCCCCCGCGCCCTCGCCGGCCTCTCCGGAGGCTGCCCCGGAGCGGTTGCCCCCCGCCAGCACCACCACGCCGCCCAGCTGCGCCAGCTGCCCGTGCCCCGCTCGCTCCTGCGCGCGGCACACGCGGGCGCACAGCTCGGTGAGGAAGCAGCCGAGGAGCAGCCGGAGGACGCGGCGCATCGTGTCTCCCAGCCCGGGCTCGACCGCTCGGCCGCCGCTGGAGCCGCTGCAGCCGCCTCTCGACGCGCGGCCGAAGCTGCCGAGGCTGCTGCCGGGGGCTGCGCGCCGCCGCGGGCCGCACATGCAGGGGACGGCGCGGGGCGCCCGGTGGTCGGCGGCCACTGCGCTCGGCTCAGCCCGCGCTCGCCTCCAGCGCGCCGCGCGCCGAGGGGCCGGACGGGGAGGAGCGCGCGGGCCCGGGAGGGGGGAGGGCGAGCGGGGGCCACGCGGGGTGCAGGTCCGGCCGCGACGAGGGAGGCGGGGGCCGGAGAGCGCGCGGAGTCCGTCTGTCCGCGCCCTCGCTCCGCCCGCGGCTCGGGACTCGCCGCCCGGCGCCCGCACCTGAGACGCCGCTCACCTCTCCAGCTCGCCAAGTGCGCCCGAGAGAGCGAAGCGACACTTGTGGAATGGAGGGAGGGCAGGAGGGAAGGTGGGGGGGGAGGGCGGGCCGAGGAGGCGCGAGGGGGGGCGGGCGCGAACCCGAGAGGGGCGGGGGCGCGGGGAGAGGTGACTCGGGCGGGCGGGAGCGAGTTGGGGGCGCGCGGAGCGGCGCGGAGCTGGGCGGGCGGGGAGGCGCGAGCTCGGCAGCCGCCGAGGCTGCGGGAACGGCTCGGTCTCCCCGAGGTGGGGAGCGCGGCGGGACCCCCCGCGCCCTCCCGGGGCTGGAGGCGCGGCTCAGACCTGTGCAGGGCGCAGAGGCGGCTCCGCCCGCGGCTTTGTCAAGGGTGCGTGCGCAGGAGCTGCGGCTGGATCTGCCCACCAAGAAAGCGGTGACTGGGGTGAGGCGGGAGAGAGAGGGACAGACTAGGAGGCGTCCACTCCAAGGCAGACCCGGGCGCTACCGGACCCCGATCGGCCCCTCTCACGGCCAGGTGCGCGGGGCCACCCTGCCTGCGCCCTGGAGACGGGCGCGCAGCCCGCGTGGCTGGACAGCCTGGGCGGACCGGAGGACCAAGACTGACCTGGCAAGGGGGGGTGGCTGGACCCTGCGCCCAGGATAAGCACCTCCCGAAGAGGGTTTAGGATAAACTAAAGTCAGGGAAGAACTGGAACTGGGGGTGGGGGGCAGAGGACCTGGGGGTGGCCTCGGAATAGGCCTGGGCAACTGGCAGGTCTCGAAAGGGTCTCCCCGCGGAGTCACCCAGTCCCCCACCCCCACCCCGCCCCGACCTGCCACTTTCTGTCCCTTTCTGCCCTCGCAGCGCTCGCTCCGCCCCACAGGAGGGCACCCCGCGGCGCCGCCTCTGCGCGCCCGGATCCCACGCAGCGCCAGGCCTGGGCGCCTCGGCCGCCCTCCCCGACCTGGAGCCCGCGCGGCGTCGGCCTCCGGAGCCCGCCGGCCCCCGCCCCGCCGAGCCCCCTGGACTTCCTCACCCGGGACTGCGGAGCCCGGCGGGCTTCCTCTGCTTCCAGCCTCCAGGCACCGCTCAGCGTTTCCAAATCTGCCCTCTCCTTAGCCGATTCCAGCCAGCGCTCGGCCCTCTCCCATTGCTCCCACTGCTTCCTCTCCTGTGCTCGAATTTGACTCCAGTAGCCCCTAAAACAGGATCTGTACCAAAGCTGCGACACCAAATTTAGATCTCCACACGCCCCTGCGTTTTGTTTTTTAATTGCATTAACTAAGTATACACTTCGCAGTCGGCTAGGGGATTTGCAGGGAAATGTTGCCTCCACCCTCCACTCCATCGGGCTGCAGTCAAGGGCTGGGCTTCCCCGAGCCTTTTCAAAGAACCAAGAAGTTGAGCCACATGCACCATGACACGAGGGGGTCCCCTTAGCTAAAAATCCGTGGGGGGAGGTGTTGGGACCCTACTGCAAGTTTGCTCAGAATGAGAGGGGCTTTAGCTCACTGTGTGTTCTCTTTGAAGAAACATCACCTCCTCCCTCCACAAAGTTGGGAAGAATGATCCTGTGCCCACAAAAGCAGAGCAGGGGATGCTGATGGCGCTTACCAGGGGCCCTGGAAGCTTCGCGGAATGGAGGGTCGTGTCATGTCCCAAATCCGCCTGGACAGGGCATGAGATTGTTTAGTTTCAATTCACTGGCATCATTATCAAGGGGTCCCCCGAGTAGGACAGGGTGGCGCGTCTGTCGACCCACACCCACTACCACAGTGGTTCTCTGCAGACTCAAGCCTTGTGTGCAAGCTCGCCACCCTGTCCCCTAGCTCGTTCTTTTCTAAAATCACCTCCTCACGGCAGCCTAGACCGCGCCTAGCACAGCGGACAAACGGAATATTTGCTGAGCCGCTGAGCCACGGGACTTGTCTGCCTCTCTCCACTAGGCCATATTACCAGCCCACACAACAGAGGGAGAGACTGAGGCCCAAAGCAATTAAGCCAGTTGACCCAGGTAGCTCAGTGAAGTGCTGCTGTTGGCATTCCACCTCAAAAATGTGGCTCCCGGGCCGTGTTCTCACCACTGCAGGCAGTGCCTTCCTAAAATAGGCCTCCAGACTCTCCAGCACCTGGTAGGATGTTAGGCACTAGGTTTTTTGTTTCTGTCTGTGTGCCCGCATTGAAATGTAAACTCCTTGACAGAAGGGTGCTGAACCCTTGAGGAGCCCTCAGCCTCCAGCACAGGGCTGTCCCCGCTAGCACTCCACATGTGTGGAGGGTCTTCTTTAACTTAAGATACTTAATGCCAGCCCCTGTCTTAAACCAAAGGAGGAACCGAGGCTTACGGGGAGGGGACAAGGGCATTTCTGCCACAGGAAGCTTGCAGAGGTTGGGAGATTTCTACACACTAAATCGGAATTGGAGAAAGCTAATGCTCTGGGCTTTCACAGTCCAAGAAGCTGAGCTTCAGAGAGGTTAAGGACTTGGTCCGAGGTCACATGACCAGCAATGGGACAGCCAGGACCGGCTAGAGACGTCCAGCCTCCGGCCACCCCATGCCAGGGTGCCCACCGTGGCTCTTCCCCAGCAAGTGTGAAGCCTGAGTGGAGGGCAGCAGTGCTTACAAGTCACAGACACCTCTCCAAAAGAGTTGAGGGGTTTAAGGCACGTAAGATTCGATTTGCAAAAGAAGGGGTGGGGGAAAACCTTCCCAAAAAGAGACAAAATCTGGACAGAAAAGCCCACTGCAAAGTCTGTCGCCAATGTCTGTAAAACATTGCCTGTCACCAGGACATTTGAGTCCAGTCCTCACAGGAGAATGGCTGGGCTGCTTCACTTTAATTAACAGAGACTGCCCCCTGTACGCGACAGGGAAAGTGCAGGAGGCTGCTGCCAGGAGCCGCAGGTCCCTCTGCTTCCTAGCGATGCCAAGGATGCCAGACCTTCAGTCTCCTAGCCCCATGATTTTGCCCAAACCAAATTCTCTTCCCACTCCTGTCTGCCCTGGCTTCCACTGCCCCCTGGAACAGAGCCGGAGATGACTCCCCAAGCCTTTGAAAAATGTTTGGAAGAGGGAAGAATCGTCTTGGTTCATTTTACTCTTTAAAGGAAAAAAGTCTATTTCCTGTGGGAACATCAGGTCAGTAAACAGTCAAGACCTGCTAATAGAGGTGTGATTCCCGGGAACAGGCCCTGGTCAGGAATATGGAACTGAGAAGGTATTGTTTTCCAGGGTTCCTGGGGAAGGGATTTGATGACCTCCCTAACTGAAACACCTGGCTAGTTCATGGAAGATGAAAAATCATCACCCAGTGCCACACACTCCCCCCTCCCCATCCCATACCACTACCCAAGTGAATTCATGCAAATATGTTGAAATTAAAATTCAGCTCTTAATGAAAGTGCTTTCTATGAATGAAACGGTGGCATTATTATTTACAATACAGGCACTTTTAATATCTAAAGAAGGTTCTCATTTGCCGCTAGCCTTAATTATGGCAGAATGCGGTGCACCGGCCCCAAGGATGCAACTGTCTGCCATCCCCAGCGATTAGGGAAGGAGCCACCTAACAAAGAATGTCTCCTTTCCTGGACAGGCAAACGAGATTATTTGTGTTGTGGCTCTGGTTCCAGAGTTGTGTGTTAATCATCCTCATCAGGTGGCTTTTAGGATTTCAAAGGGGTTTCTTAGCAACTGTTAGCCTTGGTGGGGGGTGGGGGGTGGGGGGGGGAAAATGAAATAGAAGCTGTTAGTTGGCGACCTCTGGAGTTCTGGGTGAAATTGGAAACTGACCCCAGACATGGAGGGCAGGAAGAGATCAAAGAAAGAGACAGTCCAGGGAAGATTGGTAGGGGGTGGCTTTATTAAGTGAAGGAACTTATAAGAGGCTTGGCCTGCACCACAACAAGACATGTAGCTCTCCACACCTGCCTGCCTGAAGTTTAAGTTTATAGAGAGGCTTTGCAGGGTTCGATCCCGCATCCAGTCCAGACGGTCTCCCTGGTAAGGTACTCTCTTCAGTCTGTCTTTTGAAACTGCTGCTTGGGTAGAAACAATTGAGTGGAATGGATATTTCAAGGACATTTCAAGGGGAAGGGTCAAAGCCTTTGATTGCTCCTTGCAGGCCACATCCTCTCTATGACCTCTACATCATTCCATGACCTCCACGTCCATTCCATGACCTCCTCCAACAGAAACCAAAATGTAGCTAGCAACTTGCCAAATGCCAGCGACATACTGACTTGATAGGTGTTACTCTCTTGTTCTGAAGATACAACGGAAGCCTTGCAGAATTGAAGAGGGCTCCTCCAGGCTGGAGATGCTAAGTGGGATGATTTTTCGTGGCACCCCACCAACGCTTTTTTGACTTGGTCTATGTTTATGTTAACGTGTATCAGGAAAAATACAACATGTTAAACCTGGTTTCACAGACAGAAATGTTTAAGATATCGTTAATTATATTTAGTACATCATGTTGAAGTTCATTTGAGAAAGACAAAAAAAGCATGATGGAAGTCATCAAAGATGTACAAATAAAATAATGTGAAATGTCTAGCACTGAGAATGAAGTTCAGGAAACATGGACTTGGTCAGGGTTTCTCAGCTTCAGCTCTGTTGGCATT